CATAGAGGTACAAAGATGATCAGAGAATTAACAGAGCCGTCTAGTGAAAGTGATTTGGTGGGTTTTTAGTGCTGGAAAATTTTAAACCCATGTGTGTTGGCCCAATTGGAAACACGGTCGACTGCATCTGGAGGAACGTAAGGAGGTGATGGGGCAGCAGCGCCATGCACAGGCATAAGCGAAGTCTTCAACTAGAGTGATGACCAAATATTGAAATGGGAAGACTAGAGGCCAGAATCATTAATAGCAAGGAGAAAAATTGTTGTGGCTCAGAACACATCCCTGGGGGACACCTTCAGCTGGGTGGACAAAGTCCGTGGAGACACATTATAAACCACCCAACGACGGAAATGATGCCTGTCAGAAAAAAAGTTTCTATGGAGAGGGAGCGGGTGATGGTAATTTCCTCGATGCCTAAGGAGAGGGCCTTGGGCTAAAATATTATACCTCCAAGTGTTTCATATGCCTTCCTCAAGGACAATTAAAAAATATGGCAATAACGTGAGTGGTTATTCGCAAAGGCTTAACGAACATACGTATCCAAGGCGAGTAAGGGGTCTATGGTAGAACGTCCCTTACGAAAGCCGATATTGAACGAGTGGGAGTGTAAGAACTGTTGTGTGTCTCTAAATACCAAACTAGAACGTCTATTTACTAGACTTCCATTACTTGCCAACTGCACATGGTAAGAGCAATGGGACGATAGTGGAGGTTTCATGTCCCGTATTGCCTTGTTTGCGGAAATGGAGAACAATGGCGGATTTTCCAAATCTGTGAAGAACTCCCTTGTGACCAAATCAAATTGTAAAGGCGTAATAGTACTGCAAGGGCTGACTGATGTAAATGTGTTGTAGCCATAACGAAATATGAATGTCGCGGGCCCAGCTGCCGATGATCGACAATGCAGGAGAGTGGTTGCCTCCAGTGTCTTGAAGTGTAAACAGGCACATTATAACTGTTCTTTCTCTGGTATAGAAGAAAAGTCCCGAGGTTTCTAACTCTCTGGCAGACTTTGAGGAAAGAAATTGAGGGGCATAGATGGAGTCCCTGAGAAATACGGACCAGATGATAGCCATTTCATTGGCACCATCTAGTGGGTTTGCTATATCAACACCCGCAACTCCGCAGAACCAGGAGCCGGTCAGGAGAATATTTACCACTCAGTTTTCGTTGACTTTTTCCAGACTGCACTCATAGAGGAAAGCAGAGGGTGATGGTGGAGACATATCTTCGCCAGCAAGTGCGTTTAGCGTCACGGATGACACGCGAGCGATCGCACGCTTCTGATTAAAATCAAGGAGTCTCTCTGTGGTTCTATTGTACCGTTAACCGTGCCCCATGCAGCGCGTTTCAACGAACTGCACGAGCACAGCAGGAGACCACCAGGCACGCATTTCTGAGAATGCCTCCCGAAGTTTGGGGTAAGAATGAGAATCTGCAGTGAAAACGGAGACGAGAAGAGGTGTAAAAGCTCATCGATGGAGGACGAAGAGGAACCTCTTTAAAAACAGTCATGTGGTGAGTACAGATCCAATTTGCCCGATTAAATTGCCCAGCTTTGCGGTCGAATATGTGTGCGAATATGAATGGGAAGTAAGAATGATGGGAAATGATCACTGTCCAATGTAAGTCCGGGAGAACAGTCCAAGTAAAGTCTAATGGGCCGAGTAAAGAGCAAACTGAGATATCGATGCAAGAGAGAGTAATTAGTTCCGAGGATCAAAATTGAGTGAGTACCTGTATTTAAAACATGGAGGGGGTGGGTGGCAAGAAAGCTCTAACTGGAATTCCACGGGAATCCCACAGTGGAACCCTCCCCAGAGGGAAATGGTGGGCATTAAAATCACCAGTAACAGAATCGGGGCGGTAATGACGAAACAAAGGAAGGCAAATCCGGAATAGATTAATGCCCGAGAAGGAAGAGAGATATAAAAGAACAGAGCGTATACCACCTATGTAGTGGTATACGGACGGGCTGCTGTGTTAATGCAGCGAAGTATGAATAAATAGCTGATGGTACGGAATACAGTTGCGGAGAAGAAGGGCACTTTCATTAAAGGTCCCATCAGGAAAAGGATCTGAAGAATAACAATAAATTATAGCCTGAGATGTGAGAAATAAGCAGCAAGTTTAATTTAGGGTTCCTGTAAGGCAAACACCAACAGGGGCAAACTGGGAGATGTATCATCTGAAGCTCACCCCGATGACCCCTGAGGCCCGCGTATATTCCACTGTATAAAGAGGGCCATGAATTTGGCAATGAAAAATATACTTTTGAAAAATCCGCAGGTAAGGGTTCCTACGGACTAGAAGGGTTAGAAAAGTCCTACAATCTGAGGCCGATGGGAAAATGTTCAAGCAGCGAGAACGGTGCGCTGTGAAGAAAGGATTATGCGCAGATGGAGCAGAGGATAGAGAAAGAGCGGAAGGTGGATCAGTGTCCCATTGATGGTTTGGGTCCAGCAATATATTCAGAGATTGCTTCCAGTGTAATCGGAATTCAGAAGATGTCGTATGGGAGACCAATATTGAGGAATGGTATGGTTGAGGATGAGTATCGATTGGAACTGTAATTGGACTGTACCAAAGGTAGGTGGGGGGCGAAAGGGGTGGAGGTACTGGAGAAGCGTGGCCAGGGACAGAAGAGACAGAACCTGGGAGTGGCAGAAGAGGAAGAAACTTGGGATGGAACAGGGAGGAAGGTACATTACGGGGAGGAGGGTGAACCTCTGCACTTGTAACTGAGCCAGTTGAGAGGGGTAAGAACTAGGGACAGAGACATGAGGTTAAAAATGAGGTAGGTGGAAGATGGGTTAGGAGGTGATACCAGGACCTTTTTTTGACATGTTTGAGAAGTAGAGGGACGATTGGGAGAGGTGTCCGTACGAGGTCCTCGACGAAACTTAGCTGTAAGAGAGAACTCGAAGAAGTGAGATTAGACTGAGGCGGTGACGAGAGTAGGGGACCGTCTGAGCCAGGACCAGCAAAAGGATTAGATTACAGGAGTGATTATGGGATAGGTAACCACAGAGTGGGTGTAGAAGAAGGATACCAGAATTGGGGGGACGGTTTTTGGAAACACTGTAATAAGAAACAACGTGGGAGTCTCCCTTGGAGCGGAGATGATAAACTCCAGTGGCATAAGGGAGACCTTCTGTCTCTTTGAGTAAACGGATTTCCCGCTCTTTGAAATAGACCTGACAACGGCGAGAGTACGAAGTTTGAGCTCATGACAGTTAAGGCAAGAGGGAGAATCGAAATGCAAGACAGTATTAGAATGGACATCGGCACCACAGACTGGGCCAATTCGGCGATAGATTCTGCAATATTTCGCTTGTATGGCCAAAGTCGCCAGCAATTTCTACACTGTTGTGGTGTAGGGATCACCTTCCAACTTGTAACCGATGTCCGCTATATAAACGGAGGATGGGTGTTCTCGCAGTCAAAAGTTAAACGAGCCCATGCTAGGGTAACGTCCCCCTCCGCCCCGGGCAGAAAACAAGTTTCTACGCTTGAGTATTGGAGATCCTGGAGTTCCAGATGTCTATGGGGAAGTCGTTGCCACATGTCTGGAAATTTTTGTTGAACAATGGTATGGGGCAGAATAGACGGTACCACTACAATAATTGAAGGGAATGATGTTTTTTCAAGGTGACAGGAACAGTATCTATTTGGGAAAAGACAGAGAGCTCACGAAGTCCTGGGTAGCATTCTGTATACGGTAAATGAGCGCGTTACCGCTCTAGATCATTAAAAGAAATATCTTTACCAACAGGCTTAGGAGTGCCTTGCAAATACTATGGTCAGAAAGATAGGCAGTAGAGGAAGTTGTGTCGAAAGTGTAAGAATTTAGTCCCGACTGTTCAGTCTGAAACATGAGCGTGGAAAGGTAGTGAAGGACGTGTCGATCGTTTCTGAGAAGATACGAGAAGGTGAAAGGTGGAGAAGTATCATCAGCAGGTAATTGTCGTTGACTGTTTAGGCGTGGGACAGATTGGTCCGACCGTGTAAACGTGTCGCATTTTGAAAATTTGCCGCACAGTAAGAGTGAGAGGCCCGGAAGCAAAGGTCAGGGAGAGCGAAGGTCAGAAAATCGAAGTAGTTCAGTTCGAGGCCTCTTACCTGAAGCGGGTGATGAAAAACACACCGTGAATAGGTACAGAGCATGAGGAATGTCTAAAGAGTGGTCCCAAAGACGAGGCTGGGTCAGAACGGGGTGCGGTATCAAGAAGGGGCCCTGGGGTACCAGGTTCATGGACTAGGGCTGCCAGTGGTAAGGTTACTCTTTCTTTTGTTTTTTAGAAAAAAAGAAAGAAAAAAGAAAATAAAAATACAAAAAAGAAAAAAAAAGGGGGGAACCGGGGAGGATAGTTCCTAGGAGGAATGAAAGGGCCAGAAATCTCCCTCCGCGCCCAAGAGGAACTCGACACCTGCTAGTAGCGCAGGATGCAGACATAGGGAGACCCGTGCCATACCCTAATCCCTCATGCCAGTAAAACCAGCAATCATGAATAGCCACCTCACATCTGCCGAGCTACCTCGGTGGACCAAAAGAGAGGGCGCCGGATACCGCCACAAAGCATACCTCCTTCAGCCTCCTTCAGCCACCACCCCCGGAATCCGAAAGGTGGCCTTTCCAGAGCTACACCCGTCGCCCAAGAAGACACCCAAAGCTACTCCTTACCGAGAGGGATCGGGACATCCCTAGAATCCAGATTCCAACTGCATACTACCCGCCCCCCCCCCACCGCCAAGAAACCTCAACGGAATGGGATGGACCCCGGTAGGCTTTCCCTACCTAGGAACTCGCGCCTGTGGGCGAAAATAACGAAGGCTAAAAATAGGAAGGCAAAAAAAGGGAGGGTGAGGAGGATGAGGATGAATGGAAAGAAGGGGAGGAATGGGGAGGATGGGGAAAGGGAGGTGAGAATGGGGGTTAATTAATTCGTTCCTGAGGAAAAACCGACAGGGCTAAATCCTCAACCAAGAGCCTCTTCACCACGCCAAGGAGCCCCCCTTGAAGAGGTGCGAGAGCATAATTCCGTAAGTTTTCTATCAAATTTCAAACTTTTGGTGTCGTTATTATCGGGAAAAGATTCTCTATCTTTTCATAAGAGAAAATAATTTTTTTTTTTTTTTAAATTTGACCGACCCTGAGAACGAGTTTCGGAGAGGGCCTGTCGACCCTCAAAGGGTTAAAAGCCACATGTCTCCAGTCACTCCGATCTAACATACTCACAAAAGTCTAATGGATGCTCAAGCCCCTAAAACTCAAAAGCTTATTTAATCCCTTCCCTCAACTGTTCCTTGGATGACCCCTATCCCTTCTAACTTCCATGCCAAATTTATACACCCTCTTCGTCAACATATCCCTCTTCATCCTTTCTACATGCCTAAACCACTTCAACAATTCCTCCTCAGCCCTCTGAATTATACCCTTGGTGGCCCCACAAAACGTACAACTCTAGGGTGGAAGGTAGAGATATGGAATGCTCAGAAGGGTTGCAAAGAGAAGGGGTATATAAAAGAGGCTTTGAGTTTAAGCGCCCTGAGCATCCAGAAAGCTTGAACATGGATGTTAGATAGTGAGTGGAGACAAGTGGTTATTTTTATTGGATGTGCTCTTGGAGTATGAGCAAGAAAACTTTTATGAAGGGATGCAGAGAAACTGGTTAGCCAGTCTTCAGTCTTGGAGGCGGGATAGGCAGTGCCTGCACTCTGAAGGAGGGGTGAAGATGTTGCAGTCAGAGGGTAAATCTGAACTGTGAAGTCAGCACACTTCTGGAAAGACAGCAACTGAATAAATGGTGAAAAAAAGATAAGGAGAAGAATAAAGAAAAGAGACATGAAACAGACAAGGAAAGAAAAATGTAGTGGCAGGATAAATATTTGCATTCAGCTAAAAATGAACATAGAGGCATAAAAAAAAAGATCAAATACACTGTAACAAGGTTCATCTTCCAGTAAATAAACTATGATTCATGAATGTGGTGAAGTAACCAGCATTTTTCACATACTGAGGAATACGTGAACTATGTATAAAAGTTGAAGAAAGATTGAACTCAAAGCTTTGCCTGTGAATTAATTTAAGCCCAACAAAAAGTTTGGCTGCTTTTTGGCAGGTCAGTCTTTATTCAATTTCTCTCAATATTATTTGAGGATAATCAAAGGCATAATGAAAATGTTCCACTCATTCAGCAAGACTGAAGTGCAGATAAATTTTTACTAGCATAGATTTATCAACCCATAGGTTGATAAACCTGAGCTAGTAAATAAATTAGACCAGGAGTTCAATGGTCATCTGCTTAACAAGTAGCAAGGCAAAGATGTACAGTACTTTACAGCAGTGACAATGTCCAAGTCATCTTAAACAAGGATAACTTGCAGCAATGAAGAGTTTTTGATCCAAGAAACTGGAGGTACCCTACTCTGCCTTGGATCCAACCTGATTACCTCCAATTCTCCAGATGCAGTATGACCACTATGGGTTTAGTACTTCCCCATTAATATAACAATAATTGTAGCACTGATAGATCAAGGGAAGAGAAGTCAAGCAACTCCTATGGCCAAACTGCAGCATCAGATAAATCAAGAGTTTCAGACTGCTAAACAGTTGAAACTTTCTTATTGTAAAGAAAATAAGCAAATTTCACTGAAAATTTCGCATGTGATTTTTCTGTAATAAATCCCATTCTATAACTGTCAATGTACTGATTTGTCTACTCATGAAAAAATCCCATAAAACTTAGCAAAAAGACTGTTAAATTTGGAATAAAATATAGTTGATGTACTGTATATATACTGTAACACTAAATTTCTCGAGTTAAATTTTTTTACATGAACATCAATTTTTTCATTAACCATATAGTGCATAACCACCTTCTAACAGCCAGATTTAACACAAGTGTTAAAAGACCAAAAGCAAGACTTCATCTGCAAAGAAATTAAAAACCTCCCTTTAATTATGTGAATCAATTACCAAATATTTACACCACAAAACTGGAATAGATAATAAAGATGGCCAATGTTCTGAGTTTTTTGAAAGAAAACAGGAAAAAGTAACTTCCAAAGAAATACTTTAACTCTTGTTCAAAAGTAGGATATTACAATCTTCAAAATGTACCTGGTCTATTGTCCAATAAACCACTTAAGACAAATGAAACCAAAGGGGAAAAAACATCACTGGATCAAGATGGAGTATTTTCTTTGGGTTACTCAGGATAACCAATCTAGCTTTTTTTTTCTTCCAATAAATACTAATTATAATTTCAAAGAATATTTCAAAAGAAATATAGAAGCTAACTCATGTTTATCTCTCTTGATAATAATCAATATTTTAAATGGTCATGACCTAAATTAACCTTGTTTTCAAATTAATTATTACTGTATTTAAATCTAAACATACAGTAAATTTTATCTTATAATATTTTTTGTAAATGTTGAAAAATTGAAGATTAAAGCATTCCAGTGGCTTGTACTACATCAATGGTTACAAACCAAAATATTAATTAACAGTTCAAGAGGCTAAAATCATTTTTAATATAACTTGTAAAAAAAGAAATAGCTTTGCATTATTATCATAATTATAAAAAGAACTCTCCTCATTTTCAAAGAAAAAAGGCATTTACCCTTTTCCAAAGAAATTAATGAAGACAGATATTGCTGTGAAGTCATAAAAAATGTCATCAGCAAAACGAATAAACTTATGTGGAATCAAAAGATGCACACTTCAACAGAGAAACTGAGTACATAGCAATATCCACTGTACAAGATATATTTTACACGTATTATGTGGCACTTTTTTAACAAAAAATATATGTATAAATATACAATGATGTGTTAATTTATAAGAGCTCAATGTAATCCCTGTGTTTTACAGCTGTGTTACATTTTCATTTACAGCTTGACAATCACTTTTAAGAACCAGAATTACTGAAAGATCTTTGTTTACTTCATTGAGTTATAGATCTAAACACCATCTTAGGTGCTGTATAAAATTCACGAGGCCGCTTCCAGGTAAGCGTTTTTGGATCATCAGATCCCAAAAAAGGCAGACTTTGGGTGTCCTCTTGGTTACACCATCAGACAGCAACACTGGTAACGAACATTTGCACTTTTCACAACCACCACACCACTCACACACATTAAAAAAGGCAAATAGTGTATTTCACTGTGCAACAGTTTCTGTCATTGCAACACTTTTAGCCTCTACACTGATTGTTTGAGAGGCTAGAAGAGAGGAACGTGATATAGATACATCTACATCCATAGGATGAGAAGTATTGTTTCTTTTTCCAGTTCTAGCTATTGATACTGAAGTGTTTGGAGAAGTCATCTTGGCCAGGGACTCTAATGAATCAGGGTCCAAGTGGCGAGCTAAGTCTTCCATCTGATTTAGACCAGAATAAGTAACTGACGCCTCGCTGTCTTTGTTAATATTGGCTCCACTAACTTCTGCTGCAGGGTTGAACTGAGAAGGTTGAGCAACAGTTGCAGGAGTGGAGACCTCTATCCCAACTCCAGCTGCTCCAGCAGTGCTTCCCGGAGGCGGACGCCCATATAATAGTGCATGAAGACTGGGGGACGACGAACGATTGTCACGCCAGGACACATGAGCGCCACCTCCTTCTCCTTCATCTAGGAACCGGTCCATGTAGTCACTGCAACACCCACAAATAATCACTACACTCACATATAAAGCTGTATAACTGTAGTAATCCTTAAAATTACCAAAATATAGAGCAAATATATTATTCACTATAAATAATCATTTTACAACAATTCTGCAATAAGTCTTGATGCAGTTCTTACGATTAGTATTTCATATTATATTATTTGATTATTTCAAGTGGACAATACTGGTTTTAAGACAACAATACTGTTACTTCAAAGATATAGTCTAAACTTCAGAGCATTTATCAATCATAATTCATAAATGATAAGACTAAGTACACTATATAACCATCATGCTGTATTATAAAACATATTAATGTAATCACACATATGGGTATACTACTTTGCATGTTAAACAAGGAGGGAGGGCATGCTAGTAAAGCTGAAAATTAAAACCAGGCATGTAGAGGAAAGATTAACAGAAGCACATGGCAAGAAGCAAATACATTTTTTTTTTTGGTGGAACAAATAGTATATGTCAAGTAGTTAAGACATTCTTTTCAAAGCTCAAAAGAGGATAAAATTAGCACTATCAATAGTCTGGAGAAAGCACAAACAGGGTACAAAGTGAAAACAATGAATCATGTATGTAATAATATATTAAAACAATAACAACAACAGCAACAGTGGTTTATCACTGAGGTGACTGATGTCTTAAGAAGGTATTCCAGCTAGCTGCCAGAGATGTACTGTACATTGTAATTCAGACATGCAAGTATGAAATGGGCTTAAACATAGCATAAAAACCATGGCCTACATAACTTGGGATACATTCGCATTGCTGAAGCTCTATAATGATCACCTAAATAATATACAGCATTATTAACATAACTCAGTCACAAAATATGAAAAATGATCACCACTGTATCAATACTGAACAGGTCCACCATCACAAATCCGGCAATCAGACATCCGGTTCCATCAGTTATTTGGCACTAATTTCGGGTAGCAAAATTTCAAATTTCCAGGGTTGCCACACCAACCTGCTGGTACTGTTTGATATGCTACTTGCTGCATAAGCCATTCCAATTTCTTTTTCTCCATTTATTGTTATAACCTGGTTGCTTTTAGCCCTAGCCATGGTTCCAATGAATAAAAGATAGGCTTCTCGTTATGTAAAGCACCTACATAGTACATTATCCATTAAAGATAAGATGGCTTTGAAGCCACTGTTGGTTGCCATGAGCTCAGTCCTGTGATGCAGGGGAATATGCTTTATTATTACGCTAATATCAACACTACGGCTTATTCGCCTATCACAACTGATCTAATATGACATATTAAACAATATAAATAACATAAAAACATGCTAAATACTCCAGAATGAATAATATTTGGCACAATACCGAGCAGTTCGACGGAGGTATGAAGAGGATATGGGATACAAGTACCATTCTCCTATCTCCATCTTGGGGCTTATATAAGAGAAAACAGAGTATAGAACATGGCTAACTATGATATACACTTGTACTGCACCATAAAACTGAAACAAAAAAGCTATTTTCTCTACACAGATTATCACACATAGCAGCATATGTGTAGAGAACCTAGGATAACCCAAAAAAGTCGAAGTGCCTTATTTCTAGTACAGTGGTCCCTCAATAATCGTCCATAATCCGTTCCTGGAAGTGGGACTATTATCGAAATGGACGATTTTCGAATCAATTTTTCCCATAAGAAATAATGTAAATCCAATTAATTCGTTCCAGACACCCAGAAGTATCAACAACAATATTTTTTTTTACCTAAAAGATAGATTTACATGCACAAAAGAATGAACATTCAACATGACAGTTACCTTTATTGAAGGCTGTTGTTGATGAATGGAAGACAGGGAGGAGGAGAGAGGGAAGATAGGTTATTTGGAAGGGGAATCCCCCTCCATAAGGACTCTAGGGCACTAATAAAATGTATAAATGAACATTGGTAATAGGGGTAGTTGATGAGTGGAACTGTCTGCCTAGTAGGGTGATCGAAGCTAAAACATTGGGTAGTTTCAAATTTAGGTTGGATAAATATACGAGTGAGAGGGGTTGAATTGGGGTCGGACTTGCACCTGAGCTTATTGCTTGGGTAGCATTTGTTCTGTTAGTGGGTTGGATTTGTGAAGGACTGGCCTAGTATGGGCCAGCAGGCCTGTTCCAGTGTTCCTACTTTCTTAAGTTCTTATTTAACATCACACTTACCAGTAGGGTGATCGAGGCTAGGACCTTGGGTAGCTTCAAGAAGAGATTGGACAAATATACGAGTTGGAGGAGCTGAGTTTGATTTGTGTCATTGGGTACGGGAGTAAATTCTTGGGTAGCTTTGGGTGGAGGTCATTTTGATAAGGACCTGCCTTGTATGGGCCAGTAGACCTGCAGTATTTTTCCATTGTTATGTTCTTATTGGCTATTTGTTTGTGTGAGGGAGGGATGGCAAGTTTATTGTTGGAGAATATGACACTAATATCAACTCTATGGCTTATTTATCTATCACAATTCAACTAATATGACATAATAAACAATATTAATAACATAGAAACATGGGATATACTGTAGAATGAATAAAATAAGTCATTATGTATGTCACAAGAGGTGTTGTGTTGTGTTGTTGTTGGGTACATAAGGGCCACTGAGCGTAAGCCGTCCATAATGGTGGTGAGGCGGCGGTGGTTTTTGTAGCCCTATATAACTCCAACAACATTGGAGGAGTTGGTAGAATCGCTGAATCACTAAAGAAGGAACCCTCTACCACCATCACTACGACCTTTTACCACTATTACAACTGTTACCACCATCACTACTACCTTCTACCACCATCACTACTACCTTCTACCACCATCACTACTACCTTCTACCACCATCACTACTACCTTCTACCACCATCACTACCACCAAAGAAAGCTTCTAGTGCCAGCCCTTTGGTAAAGAATGTGAGAAACACATAATTTATGAAAAAGCTTGTAGAAAAATACAAAGATGGTGGTGGTAGAGTGGAAGCAGTTGTGATAGTGGTTAATGAACATAAGAACATAAGAAAGGAGGATCACTGCAGCAGGCCTGTTGGCCCATGCTCGGCAGGTCCTTTACAATTCATCCCACTAACGAAACATTTTCCCAACCCAGTCCTCAATGCTACCCAAGAAATAAGCTCTGATAACTCTATCCACTCATTTGGGACTTGCAAATGAGTAGCGGCCCCATAGCGGTACATTTTCGTATGGTTTTTATGGTTGTATTCTCATTTTCTTGGTCTCATTTGATAGAATGGAAAATATATTACAGAAATAGATATGATTTTGATTGCTTTCACAAAGAAAGGTACCTTGAAATTGAGCTCAAAGTAGCAGAAGTGTTTTATTCTTTAGTGATGTTCAAGAGTAAACAAATGTCCAATACCTGTCCGGACACCTGCCAATCCAAATTCCAATACACAGTCAAGAATGGGTTGACATCACTTATACAATTATGATAATAGTGCAGTAGTCTGTATAACAGTAAATCTTCTATATTTTGTGAATAAAAATTCCAAATGGTAAGCAAGAGTAATATAAGAGGGGCCTGGAGCCATGACTAATGAACAGAGAAAATGTTATTTTAGTGACATGACTGTCTGCATTGTTTATTCAGGACCCTATTTTGAAATTGGCATCTGTTGAAATTTGTGTGAAATTGACCAAACTGCCAATTTCTGACCACTTTATTGGGTAGTTAAAACAGGTGAATGGGCAATTTCTTTTACTCAGTCGACAGAATAGAAGTAAGTAAATAAGTAAGTTTATTCAGGTATACACAAATACAGTTACACAGAATATCATAAGATAAATGAGGGAGTTCACTTCTCAGCCATTAGCTGCCTCTTTGCGGTATATTTTTGTATGGTTTTTATGGTTGTATTCTCATTTTTTGGTCTCATTTGATAGAATGAAGATATATTACAGAAATAGATATGATTGTGATTGGTTTCACGAAGAAAAGTACCTTGAAATTGAGCTCAAAGTAGAAGAAATGTTCGATTTTTGTCGATGTTCAATGAACTTTCTTCTGTAAGTTAAGTTGGTTAATTTTATTAAGTGTATTCTAACCTAACCACTCTGTAATCAGGCACACTACAGGTCCCAATGATGCCGGATTTGTGACGGCAGACCTGTATTATCTCTTATTATTTTCGCTACATGTACACCTTGAAAATGCAAATGCTTTAAAATAGCCAAAGCAAAATGAGTACACAAAAATCTTGAAATTATTCATGGAAGACCCTCCAGTAAAATTTTTGAATAACCAAAATCAGCAAATTTTGAGTTCCACAAATTTGGAGGACTGACTGTGTGAGACACACAAATAAAATAAACACACGCATCTCTGTAAGTAATATTTCCTTTACAGAAGCTCCATCTTAAATTCTATACACAAGAATTACTTGAGCATGTTCCTACATAACAAAACATAACATACTGTATTAAAAACCTAGCTTGGTCTCACTGCACCTTACCCGCAAAAGCTATACGTACTTCACATGAGTAGTGACTTAAGAAAAACACTTGATACTGTTGATGACAATATTCTTCTTCAACTACAGCACTGTAGGCATCAAGAACATAAAGTTTCTTCTTTACCAAATCCTACCTCAGCGGTACATACCAACATCTGACCATAAACCACATTTCTTCATCCATTCTATCTATAAACATTGAAGTATCCTTGGCTATCCACTCTTCCTTTTTTATATGAATGACCTAACAAATGCCATTCACCAACTAAAACCTTTGCTATTCACAGATAACATCTGTCTCCCCCAAACCCACACCTACTCTCCTATTCAATAACATAATAAACAAACTAAAATGAAAAAAAAAAAATGGAAATGAGAGAAATTCATGAAGATATTTTTCTAATTTAATAGTTGTCTTCTGCCAAGGCAGGGTGACCAAAAAAAAAAAAAAAAAAAAAAAAAAAAAAAAAAAAAAAAAAAACATTCATCATCATTCAGTCAATCACATGTCTTT